GCAGGAACTGAACACACGTTTTCTGGCCTCTCAGAGTGCAGACCGAGGGGCCTCCCTGGGCCCCCCGCCCTACCTGCGCACCCAGTTTCACCAGCACCAGCACCAGCACACACACCAGCACACGCACCAGCACACCTTCACACCCTTCCCCACGCCATCTCTCCCACTACCATCATGCCAACGCCAGCACCTCCCATGGTGTGTAACCCAGGCAGAAATGTGAGGATAAGTAGAGCCCACTCTCTTCTGTGTGCAGGAGGGTGGGGCTGGCGCAGGCGTGGGCCCTGAGGCCAGGTGGCCTTTGAGGGGCAGTGTCCTGCACCTTACCCAGGTGCCCGCTGCACGCATTTGCCAGTGCTGGGTCCACCTGCTAGTGGCCTTCCTTCTCTGGGCAACTGCCATCCTGGCCCGACAGCAGTGTGAACCAGGTGCTGATGCACAGATGCTCACAGCACCAGGAGGGAGGGGACAAGTGGAGGAACAGCCACTGGGGCCAGCTGCCTGCCCTGTGTGGGGTGACATTCAGAGGCTGAGCCCTGAGCCTGGAGGTGTGTGGGCATTGCCATATACCCAGGGAACTGGGAACTGAAACGGATGGTCTCAGACAGGCTTCTTTAAATCTTTAAATGCCCTAGCAGAGTTCTACCTCAGTTGTCACTTATGTCCAGTGTTTAGAGAAGGGCCTGGTTGAAACCCTGAAGAGGAGAGTCCATCAGGCCCCAGGAGAGCAGATGGGAATTCATGGAGGGTCCTCTCATCCACCTTCTCACCCACTGGCTCAACTTACTTTTCTTAACATATATTTTTAAAGTTTGTTCTACAAGTTTTATTTAGGGGAATATTAAAGATGAGGCTTTTTCACCATCCCACCCCCCCGCCCCACCCTCCACAAAAAGTCCTATAGCAAGTTCTGTGTCTTTTTCTTTCTGAAAGAACTGCATTTATCAACAGTGATTTATTTGTTTAAATTCCTTTTTAGTTGTAGCTGGACACAATATCTTTAATTTATTTATTTGTTTTCTATGTGGTGCTGAGGATCAAACCCAGTGCCTCATATGTGCTAGGCGAGCCCACCACTGAGCCCTGGCCAACAGCCATGTGTTTAAGGGCCTAATGGTTTAAGAAAATATCATGCTGGCCTGTGTGAGCTGGTCCACCAGTGAGTCAATCTGAGGTCTTAACATCCTGGAGGAAGACAGGCATGAGGGTGGGGGTGATGAGTCCTCCTGATGGGTTCAGAAGACCCAGCCCAAGTGCCCTGTGTGGGTGGCATCGACTTCAGAGAACGGCAGATCTGCAGTTCTTCTGGCAAGGAGAAGACCAAGTGGAGGGACCCTGGGAGGCCAGGCCCCATGCTCGGCTCTCTGGATGGATCTGGAGGTGCCTGTCCTCTCCAGTTTGGGTGTTCACTGTGTCAGCCTCTGAGCACAGAGTAGAAAGAGAGGAACCACCAGGTGTCCAGGGCCCGAGACACCGTGCCGCGTGGGCAGACTGGACTCGGGGTTGCCAGAGGCTCAGGAGCTCAGGTGGCTCCTATTCAGTGAGGTTGTAGGGTCTGGTGATGTCTCAGTGACAAAGAAGCTGTAGGCTGCCTCCACTGAACAGTGAACCAAAGGCAGATGAAGTAATTAGTTTTTGCTTTAATTCCTTTACAGTTTGACAAATACCCTACAAAAGTTGACCCCTTCTACCGGCACAGTGTGAGTTGCATTCCCTGCTACACGTTGAATGTGCCTTCTTTCCGTGTGTGCGCTCTCCCCTAGTCAGTACACAGCCAGCGGCCTTCCCGTCACCTCGCCAGTGTGCCCGCTGCTGCTCGTCCCTGTGGATGCTTGCTTTTGTGGTGTCTTGCTTTTGGTAAAGATGCAGTATCATCTTCAGAGTCAAAAGATCATAAGCACAGCCAGGACATCCCCCTGGGAACCAGAACCTGCCCTGCCTGGGGGTATAAGCTTTGCAGCCCTTGCTGCAGCAGAGCCCGAGGCCACAGGACCTCAGCCACAGGTGGAAAGCCAGCCACAGAGGGACCTCAGCCTGACTATTCCCTCTGAACAAAGTCCCTCATTCTTTTGACTCATAACTCTTCAAAAAGTGCATTTTTATTTACTTGAGACTAAATACAGAACCCTCTTCCACATGGCTGATACTGTTCTCCTGAGTGTATTTTCATTTTACAATTAAAATATTGTTTAATTAAAGAAAGCCTTAACATTAAAACGAATGCACCTTTTCTCTTTAAGCTCAATTCTTCTTTGCTTAAAAGATGCAGTTTTATGAAATTTTAAGTATACATTCCAGAACTTAAATTGGTACCAACCTGTTATATGATCATTGATGTAGAAGACAAGAGCTTCTCTATACAAAGACCTTGAATACTTGATTGTGATACTTTGATTATGGGGTGAATACTGCATCATTTTTATCTGAAAATTTGCAAGTTTATTTGCTCAATGGTTTTTCTTTTCTTTTCTTTTTAATTTGTAAGTGAATCCAGGAAAAAGGAAAAGCCAAAATTGCTTGTAGCCATGTTGACTCATCATTTACAGCTATTCCCATTTTGATTTTTAGATTGTGTTCTCATTTTGGTGGAAATGTTGCTCAGCAGATCAGCAAAGACTGAATTCATTCATACTTTAAATAGATAATTAGGCACTTCATTAGTCAAGAGCATAGCTGAGAAATCAAGACTAGGAAATATTAGAAATCCATTAAGAATCACTTACTCTGGAGCCACTCAGAAGTGACGTGAGGCCTCTTCAGTAAGGAAAGGTGCATATGAGGGCCTTGCACCCACCACGTGGGCCACCTGTGTTGCTCAGCACTGATGCAGAAAGGTTTTCAGATGGACATTCAGGACCCAGTAGGCCTGGGTCCCTCTTGGGACCTGCCCATGAGTGGTGCCACTTTGCCTTGCTCTGTGTCTTGCTGATTTAACAAGGGACCAGCTCACAGAATGGTTTCTGTGGAGCTCAGTGTGCCCAGGAGGTGGCTCAGGTTGGCAGCCTGAAGCCACGCTCCGTTCTCCGTGGGCACACTCCATGGAGATGCCTAGGCTGGGGCTGGTGAGGCAGCCTAGGGGTCTGGACTTTGGAAAGTGTCCACGACCTCTGGTTCTCCAGCGGGGACAGTCTTCAGCTATATTTATTTTCCAGTGGTCAGCAGTGGGACAGATCAAAGGAAGTGGGAAGAGCATTGGGTTTCACTGTGAACGTGAAGGGAACTGCCCACCTGGACAAGTTTCTGGTGGAGGGTGTTGGTCACTCCACTTCCTTCCTACAGGGCCCTGGGGGGTCCTCACATGGCCAGTTACAGGGTGATATAGGAAGTGCTTAGTCCCTCTTGCCTTGGGATCGGGACGCTACAGGCGGACGGCAGAGGCCGTGCTCAAGAATCTAAAACCCAGTCTTGGACTTGAAAGGAGTTCTGAAGGGGGCATCCTTGCACAGTCCCTGTGTAAGTGGGTTCAGTTCAGGACCAATGAGTCTGAAACCTCTGTGCACCACTGGAGAGAGCAACTGGAGTTGGCCTGAAAGAGATGTGTGGGTCTCAGTCCCTGCCAGAGCAGTGGTGTGAGGGCCTTATTGGGAAGGTGCATTGTCATACTGTGACATGTGACACAACTGTGAGTTGGTGTGTCACTTAAATATCCACATGATGGTTTTGTCAAAGTGAACGGACCCAGAGGTGTAGAACCTCAGAGTTAATACAATTTCCAAAGGCAGGAAAGATGTGCTCACATCATCTCCCAGTATTGCTGTACATTTTTCCTCCAGTTATGTCCTTTGTATGCTAATGAGTCAAGAAAATTTATATTTTTCACTCAAAAT